TATTTATTTATTCGAATCGATGTAGTCGATGACATTCCACGTATGTCTCGAAGGTATTTAAAAAAAAATTGTATTTGTAGTTACTATAGCGAGTACTAGTTGTCTGACCTGTTACCAGTCAACATTGAAAATGGACATTCTAGATCCAGGGGATATGGTATCAGTTTCGTATAAAGGACCTGTAGGGCTTCATTATGGTAAGTCGCTGTTCATAAAATAACAGGTCTACACACCTTCAATAAAACAATAATAATTATTATAATCCTATAGTTGTTTTTACCGGTAATGTCACAGGAGAAACAAACAGTTGATACAAGCATTGGAATATGATGTAATAAAGTAATAAAAATAGGCGGGGCTTAGCATGGAAAGCCTTTGTCCAGTTACGTATAATCGTTAACCTATGAAAATTTTACAATGTAAAACTAAAGTATAGAGTAAAACAAGACTAAGAATGCAAAACTTTCAATTGCCATAATTAACTAAATTCAATAGATTGTTTAAACACTATATTTGACGAAAACATTTTAAGAGCTTAAATCATTTGTTTTTCAAATGGGAGAAAATGACAAAAATAATTATATTGGACAAATGCAGTATAAAAAGAAATTAAAGCTTTTTTTTTTTTTTTTTTTTTGCAAAATCACCTCTTTATTTTCATTAATTAAATGTAATAAATTCTTAACTAATTTCAGGTCAATACATTGGGAATGGTGTAGTCATGCATTTTACCAGTGACGGCACTCCCGTAAGTCGCATAAATCTGAATAGTTTTAGAGATAGTTCTCTGAAATTTTATAGAGATCCATGTCCGCCAGAGATCAACCCCAGAGATGTCACCAAACGAGCATTGAAGTGTGAGGGTAAAAAATTTAGGAACGAAGATTACAACGTGAAGACGAACAATTTGTGAGCATTTCGCTAGATGGTGTTTTACTGGTGAGACAAGGAGTTACCATACAGCATGGAGTTACCAAACGGAAAGCTGGTCTGGATATATTGCGCGTACTATCTACAACTGGATACTTGGTCCAGGTTCTTATCGAAAATCGGGTTCGAGCTCCAAGTCATGTCCAAAATGCGGTTCAAGCTTCAGTTCATGTCCTGTACTGGAGGCAAATAGATAAGCAATCTCATCAACTGTTTGTTGATACTCGTACTTTTAAAACACATTCAATGACAAATGTGGAATGTAATATTCTCATCAGTGTGGTCAGTACTTTTCACCATCATTATAAAGTAAATATATTAAAAGTAAAATAAAATAGGCCTAAAGTTTAAATATAGCTTAACATAAGTTATAAAAAAAGTTCAACCAGAATTTCAGTTTGTTGTAGGGCTATATGTTATGCTTTTTATTAGTATTTTACCTGTGGCCTATATTAAGAGTCATTGTCTGTCAAAAAATATCAATCAATAAAGGTGGCAGACTGAAAAATTGATTTTGTTTAATACTTTTGTAATAGATAAATCAGGGGCGGATCCAGAGATGTCCAAAAAAGTGTGGGGCCACAAATTACAAAAAAAAGTGTAATACTACCCCAGGGGGCCGGAGGCATGTCCCCGCGAAATTGTAGGCCTATATTTATTTATATTTTTGCTTGGTTTTTACTTATATTTCAATGTAACTAGGTGATTTTGTAATGGGCTGAATGCAAAACAAATTTTTGGATGTTTTTGTGAAAATAAAGATTACCTGGAAATTTAATTCAATTGAAGCGTAGCAGTGTTAAATAATTTTAGGCCTGAAACAACCTGATTTTTACTTGATTGTATAGGCCCTACATAATATGAATCACTCTAACTCTCCTGCCATATTCAGCATACTGACTCCATGTGTCACAGTAATCAGACAAAGTATAAGTTTTTAGGCATAAAAGCCCGGCAATCACTGCGACGTCGCAGACCGCCGTACGACGAATCCAACTCCGCTCCCTTGAGCGCTATACGATGCGACGTCGCCTGTTGATTGTCGGTGAAAGTCTAAACCAAACGGATCGTCATTAAAAACGATCCGTTGCGAGTCATTGCGATGAGTTCTCCATAGTATACCGTTGGCCGACGTCTGTGGGGCGCAGGCGTAACTAACTACGAATTACCAAGATTATATTACGACGTCACTATGATTTTACAAAGACGAAAGCACGACATCAATATGATTCACCAAGACCCTGATTAATTTAACTAATCACATTACAAAAAAAACCCCCCAAAAACAAAAACCACACAATTAACGAATATTGAACGTTGTCGTCGTCGCCATAGTTGTTGATATTTCGCCATGTTCAAAAACCTACAATACAGTAGGCCTATATGCAAGCTAAATCTGCTATAGCGACGACAACGTTACGATACTTAAACGATTGAGCACGATTTTCTTTAACAGTCCAAAAAAATCCGCTCCATCACGATGGCATCAAGGTCCAGTACGATGCGCTACGGTGAATTACGATTGACCACGAAATTTAGCACGACGCAAACAATTGAAAAATCCTGCTCAAGCGTAGCAAAAATCGTGAATGTGTGAAATGGGTATTACAGGCTGACTCACACTACACAGATATATTCGAAGACAACCAACATAAAGAGTCTCCTCTAGTTAGACTCGACATTTTCCTATGATTTGTATACATTTTAAGGTAATGTAAATACTTATGAAATGAATATCTGGTATTTACTGGCAGTCAACTTCCATGTAAACTATACATTTAATAATTGGGGTGAAATTCCATTAGCAAGAGTCCATAGTTATTGAGTATTAGGGGGCCTGTCTTTATTTATAATTGATAATAATTATATTAAATTACAATTCTTATGTAAATTTGTTTATATTTTAGTACTTAGATGTGTATTGTACAAGTTGCAAGTGTAATCCAAAAGCCCCAATGGACTAGTTGATCGCAGATTCCTCTTCTTTAACGTTATCGCACTTATATATTTTGCAGCATTGCTGCAACACTTTTTAGAGGTATCTCTATCACATTGCTACTTATTTATATTTGTATTTATTGTATAATTGTTCTGTGGAGTTATTCCGAAATAAAGTGAAATGAATGAAATGCAATGAAAAGCTCTATTCAGGCAAGTTCAGATTGTTTAAAGTTCAGACTGTTTAAAGGTCAGTAATTATCATCTTCCAAACTTGAGGATCCAACATTTTTAGCCATTAAAGTTGTTGTACTGTCGTTTGTTTACTTGTTCTTTCATGAATACTCTAGTCTAGCCGAATGCATTTTTATGTATCCTAAACATAAATAATAACAGTGATTGAATAGGAACATGTTGTAAAAATTCATGCATTTTTATGTATCCTAAACCACTTTTAAAAACAGGAGTTAAATACATAAATAATAACAGTGATTGAATAGGAACATGTAAAAATCGTATCAAGCATAGTTCATAAACGTTAGGTTCCTTTTATTTCAGTGGTATGAAAAAAATATCTAGTTATGTGTGTAGTGAAAAACAGTTTGGTTATGTGAACTACTTCCTGTAAGAAAGGTCAGTCATTTTGAATTACAAGATGGCTGACATACCACCAAAAATCAATTTCATAACAAGACATATATGATATGATGAAAACTATTTACCTCTACAGTATAACTGAAATAAAATAAGGCACTACACTGGAAGTTTACTGTACTGTTCATATTTATTATTACACAACAGTAACATCTGGGACCTCTGACTCCCGCGACACACCCAAAGAGCATCAATATCCATGGCAGGATAAAAATAGTCAGTTATAAAAAGTTGACATAGTTCTGTTGTTACTTTGAAGACTTAGTGCTAAAATGTCAGGTCAGTAGATATGCTTTATTTTCTTCCAGGTCAAATTGCAATAGTTTTTTTTCTTCCGAGAAGTAATATTTTATGACTGCTAAGTCGGTTTTCCAATAGCAAATTAATTTGCATGAATCGAAAGCATTGTTCATGCGCATGCACATTTCTATCAGAGTTTGCACTTCAGTGAAATCGGTAGTTCAAACTGTTTCTGCTTTTTGCGAGGCAAAAAAAATTGCGCAGCCAATCAGTGCTCAGGAAGTAAACTAACGCTTTTGATTCGCGCAAATAAATTTGCCTAGTTGAAAACTGGTTTTACATTCACTGTGCTTGGCTGCTGTGTTTGCATCATTGCAGACATACATTTATTAGTTCAGTTCTAAGCATTATCAGTTGATCCTTTCCTATCTTGATACAACAGGAATTCATCTCTCAATTCATTTAATTCTGTCCCATCTCCATACAGTGCCATCGTCACAGGCATACACCAAGACACTGCCATCCCTCGACAAAGATGTCTGTCTAATTGCAGAATTACAGTCAGGATGACCCAATTTAATAAACCTAAAAACAAAATAACAAACAATATTTAAGTAATTAATATATTTGTTAATTAATATATTAATATTAATTACTTAATATATTTGTTAATAATATGTGGAAAAGGGCAAAAAGTCAATTCTTGATTATTGTTTAGTGTTTGAAGAGCTAACAATCTGGAGCTCCTGCCCAGTTCTCCCTACTCGTGCATTTAAACCATTTGCTATTTTAAAACCAAGCCAAATGAAAATACATGATTTAAAGATGACTGTTGTTGCATATGACTTACTTTGCTTGTGATGGGTCATCAACATCCAAGTCCCAAACGTACGTCTTACCAATCTGATTCCCTTGCGCCAATATCTGCAATTCAAAAAGTTTCTGTTATTTACAGCCATTCCCAATTGAAAAACAATTTGGTATTAGTGTACCAAATGATGCAATAAGTGTAATGACAAACTATAATTATAATGGCCCGAAGGTTGCTTTTTGGTGTAAAAGAAAGGGCGATTTGTTATACCATATGGGTGTGCAGCTGAATTTGAGATTTATAATGTGCTGATTCCCATAGGCAGTATACAAATAAAAGCAAACAGTAATGTGGAAAATAATTCTATACTCTTGGGTGCAATATTTAAATTATAGATTGAATACATACTTCTATTGTTAGAGGGGGCCCCAAGGAGGCACTTTTATAGATGTATATTCCAGACCACAAGAGGTAAATTTAAAAATGATTATCTTCAAGCATTATTAAGGAATTAGCTAAAAGTTTATGGCTCCACTTTTTAGACAGCCAGAAATAGCAGTCTCAGAACTCACCAAAAAAACGTTTTTTTCCCTTTTTTTTTTTTTTTTTTTACTGGGGGGTTGGGGCCTCCAACCTTCCCTTTTAACTACCTTTTGAGAGAAGTCCATACTGAATCTCATAAACCAGATATCACAGTTGGTATACTCAAGCTTATGTAGCACCGTAACTTGTTTACTATTGGTCTTTATCTGGTTAATGTTATCATCAATTGTGCCAGGTTTCCAACACACAATACAATTTTCACACGACTGAAAAAAAAAAAGCTTTTATCAATTCAATGTATTGCAGTACAGACTTGCAAAAAATTAATTTTTAGTTATACAGAGTTGAACAGTCAAATGAAAGTTATAAAAGGAATCATTTAAGCACCAGTGACAAATAATTTTTTTAAACAGGCGCTATGCAATTCTCCAATTTATTATTATTATTATAAAATTTTGTTAGGAAGTTATAGGAGTTTAAACATACAGCTGTTTAAAGAACAGTATTTGCCTTCAAAGTTTGATTTCACACATTTCTCAGAGATCATCACTAATTTGTTAAAAAATGTTGATTCAACATAGAATATGGGGGAAACTAAGAGCAATGCATGATGTTTAGTGCAATAAAATAGATAACGAGAATGTTGACATTCCAACATGTTTTTGGACATTATTTCCAAATCGTGAATTGTGAGGAGTGACTGGTTTTGCTTGTCTTTGCCACAATATATAACAAGCACTCCTTGGTTAGATTTTTTATTCTTAAACTGTTGAAAAATAAATATGTAAAACATAAAAGCACTGGGATCACGTTATTGTTTTAATTAATCTTGTTCAAGTCCAGTTCAACTTGCTAGGCAGTAAGTACTACTAAACAAAATACTATACACTGTACACAACACTACAGCACGAACCTTTGAAAGAACAAAATTTCCAAGCCACCGGACGCAATCCACATAATTTCGATGAATATCACGAGTTGTAAAATCAGGTATGTGAACATACAATGTTTTAAATGGACTGCAAACAAATTCAAAAGTTGATAAATAATTTAATTAAAAGTATTAAGACACTGAGAATATGGCTATACATAATGCAATAGGAATAAAAGTCTTACAAAATGCCAAACATCTTCTACTCCTAGTAGTCGTATTCCTAGTAATGTCTTTAAGAACAAATTTACCGTATTCCAATTTATATATATATTATACTTGGAAATCAGTTGTAGTCATGTGAGAAGATGTGACCAGCAGTGGCCTAAACATCACACACAACTAGTTGGTTAGAAGTCGAAAGACTTGGCACATGTGCAAATACGTTGTTCACACAAGAAGGGGAATATCCCCCCAAAACAACTGGAAACAATCCGATAATGTATGGCCTGTCTTAAACAATTATACTCACTGGTCTGTTTTTGCTTGATTGTAGGTATATGACTGTTTTATTGACTCCTGTACTTTGTCTGTATTCAAGCACCATATCTTCAACGAGTGATCCATACCACAGGATACCACTCGTTCTCCATCAATATCAAAATCCTAAACAAAAACCTCTACATTAGTTTATAATTTAATTGCAAGAGCATAAGAGTACACTGGTTGAATTTCTCCACCCCTAAAGCTCCAATAACACTATCAAGTGAAGTACAGTAGGCCTAAATAAAAGAGCTTAGCTTGGCCAAAAATGTATTAAAAAAGGGGACATCCCAAATATACATACAGAATAGGAATACAAGAAACAGAATGAACCTACAGTATGAAGCCTCATTCACCATCTCCACCATTCTACAACATGTACTCAAGGGGAAAATTCAAGGGGGAGTGGGGGAAGCCAGCCAGGCCCCCCCTCCTCAATTATTAAAAAATGGAAAAAAAGAAAAGTATATTCAAATTTAACTCTGAGAATGCCATTTCTGGCCCCCAAGAGGTGCCATAACCATAAATAGGTAAAGCTGGTAGGGCTGAGGGGGGTCACCACTCTCTGAAAATTCCTCCCTGGGCCCCCTCAATTTCAAATTCTTGGATCCGCCACCGGTACTTTAATACCATATTAGGTTATTTTTAGAAGTCACTCATCATTCAATAAGCAATTACATGACAACTGGGTTCCATACTTACTGCACTGAGAACTTCATCCCGGTGACCTTCGACACCTCCTAGCACCAGCACCACTGAATCTGTTTTCAAGTTCCACAGTCGAATTGATTGATCTAAATGATAACAATTATATAAAAATAATATCAATAATAAAAGCATTAGTAAAAATAAAAATAATTATCATGAATGTACACACACATGATTTCAATCAACACAGAATTGTAAAAATACAGGTCTCATTCTTTTCTGTGGTCCCAAATGAACAAATGTCTGTTATTTTTATTACTCTAATTAGAGACCAAACCTGCTAAAGACCATGAAACCCTGGTCCCAAGTGTGGTCTTTAATTGGAGGGAGACCTGTACAGTATTTGTGTTGAGATCAGGATTAACAATAACTTTAACCAATTACATATATTAGTTAATATAGCAAAGATCACAAACTTTCATATGAAAATTATTGGCCTGTACCATATTTACTTATACCATATTTCAACTATTATATTATATAAACAGTCCATTGTCCAATGAACCTTGTCCTACCTTTACTGACTGACAGCAGCAAGTTACAATCTTGTGGATGGAATTTCAGTTCATTTATAGCATTTCCATGGGCACCATAATGCTGGGGGAAAATGTTCCAAATTTTTTTGAATACTATATTGTGATTAAGATAGTTCAGTAAATTAGTTCAAAGATATATAACAACAGGTCCCTCTATGTCACAGATTGATAAATTAGCATAAAATAGTACCCTGTCACAATAAACAATAACCTTTATCCCATGTTACATTGATGTTAAGTACCATTCTCACCCATAAACAATTATGGATAAAATGTGATTTAAATTATGCAGGGCTTAGCGGAACATACCACTGTGTCATAACCAACCTTAACGCATTGCATGGTAATTGGGCTAATTATGCGGATGATGCCTCTTGATCCAGCAACAGCTAAAAGTGGAAGTCCAGTTGATTCCTCATATGTCCAAGCACATGTGTAGAAGTTTTCCATGGACTAAACAACAGGTTAAAGCATTTTATTTGAATTCTCATACTTATCAAACCTAAACTTTAATTTAGAAACATTCCCATCAGTGATAAGGTGAGACTTTTTCATAACTTGTTGGCGCTAATGCACTTTAGTACTCTATCCTAACCCAACTGTAACCTTAACAATAACATAGCGAGACTGGAGTTATGGTTATGGTTAGGGTGGAGTACTAAAGTGCATTAGCGCCAACTTGTTTGGTAAACCCTCTGACCTCCATTAACGGTGAGTTCAAATAAACATCAAATTTTATATTTGGCCAGTTAGCGCACCCTCCATCAGAAAAAATTTGTTATTTAATTTTGTTAAGCCCTCCGCTTTCCTGAAATCTCCAAAAATAAGATAAACACACACACACACATCTGTCTCTTATAATAAAATTACATTTTTATTTTCTCCTCCGCATTGGCAAAATCATTTTGCTAAATAAGAAAACAAAATTTTAGTTTTATTTTCTCCTGTCTGGATGTTTTTGGCAAAATTTAAATTGCTAAAAAAAAAAGTATTTTTTATTTTCCACCCTTCTCTAACGATCTTTCACAAAATAAGTTCGCTAAACAAGGTATTATTAAAAAAGAATTGCCTAAAGATGATAAATAATTAATATTATTTGTTTGCTCTCTGCCAACTGAGATTTGATAGTTGATAATTTGATAGTCTGGACAGGGCTTTATACTCAATTAGTAGACCAAATAGATACTATTACAATACAACTTGCTTACTGTACATCTTTATATACTGTAGCACAGATGAAGGTATTATAAGATGCCTATGGAATTTATTTCCACTTTTTTTTAATTTCCATATTTTTCCTTGATCTGAAAGGATACATCTGCATCAATGTAACTCTGTATAATGCTGATCCCGCCATCTTCCTGCATCTCATAGATACTAACTCGGTTGCTTCCGACAGTTGCAAACACCAGCGCATCTCCCGGTTTGTGACAGTGGTTGAATTGAATCCCAAATATGGGTTGTCCATGATCTTCTTTAATGCTACAGCGGAATTTATACTGTAGTTTACAACGTTTGACCTTGAACTTTCCCCTTCCCCAACGACCTCTTCCTGGACCCGTTGTAGGGGTGTCTGAGCGAGAGATGGTGTCAGCGGTTGGTGTACTTGTTTCTGACCGGCCATCACACAGATCCTGGAACACAATAACACAAAAATTATGATAATGTGTGGGGCTAGTTATTTAAATGTGTTTTTATAACATTTTTTTTCTATGACTAAAATTTCCTACCACACACATTATTAACCATATTATTATTTCTATCAAAATTAGTCATTTACGAAAAAACCTATATTTACTAACTAAATGTAAAACTGTAGTTTAACTGCAGCAGGCTAGATCTAAACCATCGGCACTACCAATACTCTAGAGTATGGGCCCAACTACTACCTAGGCTAGGTCTAGCTAGGCCGCCTAGCTAGGAAAGCAGAGAAAGCACTGCCGTGGACGAAGGAGACCTGGTCTACGTACCTAGGCCTAGCCAGCTAGCTGCAATGCTAGCCCTAGCATCCTGCTAGCCTTTCTAAGTAAGAACAAATCAGTGAGGTGGCTGGTAGCCTAGCCAAAAATATAACAGCAGTCATGTGTATTACTTCAGTTAGCAGTTCATCACCAGAAGCTCCGTTTGAAGACCCGTTATCAGTTCCTTTCTGACATCTTCTGAATGTATGATTATCAAATCCATCCTCGTGAGTCTCCTCCATTACAAATTATAAACAGAAATTCTCCGCGCGAACATTTTTTTTTTAATTTTTAAACATAGCGCCACCAATTGGTAGCTAGAATGAACAATTAATGATAGTCTTATTAGCCAGGCATCATAAGCATGATGAGAATCTACCTCAAACGGATAATTTACTGTCATTGATGCAATATCAGTGCCATTATTTATTACAATATTTGTATAATTTCACAAAATTCGTCTTTGTTTATTAAGAATGTGTCTTAGTATATCAAGTTTCTATCTTTACTATTCCATTGATTTTTTTTTTAAGAACCGCATTATAAGCGTACTCAGGCCAGTAAGCAGGAATATTTTATTGGATGGGTGAGAATTTGTAGACATTAGACCAAAATGGCGTGGAGGGAAGCGTGGGGGTGGGGTGGGCGCCAGGGACAGAGCCGGTTGGTGTCGAAGGGCAAGTTTTATTTAATCGATTCTGAAGATGCAATAATATATGAACAATATTAAATAGCAGGGGCCCGTGGAGGGCCGATCAATCGCCTCAGCCCTATCATGGTTGGGGCTGAGATAAGAAAATTTATAATTATGGACCTTCTAGATGGCCGGAAATGGCACTCTCAGATTTAATATAATTTTTTCCAATATTAGGGGCAGGGGATATGAATAGAAACGGTTATCAGTGGCGGATCCAGGAATTTGAATTAAATAGATGGGGCCAGGGATGGAATTTTACAGATGAAAATTTATGATTATGGCACTTCTAGGCCGGAAATGGCACTCTCAGACTTTCTTTTTCTCATTTTTTGAAGTTATGAAAAAAAGGGGAAGGGGGCGAGCCGGCCGGCCCTTGAATCCGCCACTCTCAATAGCGGATCGAGGAATTCGAAATATTTAATATGGAAAGACGTTCACAGATCCTCTATAGCTGGCCGGATATGGCACTCTCAGATTTAAATTCGAATATAATTTTCTTTGTGTATTAAAATAATAGGCCTATGCCCTATATATATTTCTTGCTCTGACCTTCGCCATGGAGAACTGTGCAAAATCAATACCTACTGTATCAGGATGATTTGCAAACGAGAATAAAGATGATTTTATTGAAACCTACAAGATGAGTTTGTTCCCAGTGTTAATCATTGACACGCAAGCGGTGTGGAAAAACACTCAAATTTCTCAAAAAGATAACACAGATAAAAGTCGTTGCTTGTACGAAGAATTAGATGAGATCCTAGTTGGAAACTACTCTGATTGGTGGAGGAGGTGTGGTGGATGGTTTTAGAACGTGCGAGAGTTAGTATTGAATTTTCTACGTAAAACTCTTGTAATTTGAGGAGGAAGGGTGCGTACACACCCGTCACCCCTCCCCCTTGGGTACGTGCCTTGTACTTAATTGGAAACCTCAGTACTCGAATATATTTTATTCATTTTAATTAACATTGTTGAGATGAGTTTACCATCTTATTAAATACAATCAAATAATTCCATATCACCTAGGCCAATTTGTAAACCAGATAAATCAACTTGGTCATGTCCAACCCAGCAGGGCCCTGTAGCAGGGAACACTCGTTTCGGTGTATGTGGACAGCAGTACAATTATTTAAGTATCTGCACTCCATAATACAGCATGAGAATCTCCGAGTTCTGAACTTCGAAGTCAGATCATTGCCAGAGTTCTGGGTTGAACCCTCCTTTTCTCTCAATAAAACTGTTATTAAATTTGGAATAGGATAAAAGGACAATGGCGAAAATCGGACAAGTAGAATTAAAGTTATGAAGAGAAATGTGCGAAAAAATAGCGAAAACCGCTGAAAATCGAAGGTTTCGAATTAAATTAAATGATTTCGCGACGATCAAACTTATCCTAATGCGCCTAGGCCAATTTGTAAACCAGATAAATCAACTTGGTCATGTCCAACCCATCAGGGCCCAGTAGCAGGGAACACTCGTTTTGGTGTATCTTGACAGCAGTACAATTATTTAAGTATCTGCACTCCATAATACAGCGTGAGAAGCTCCGAGTTCTGAACAAAGTCAGATAATTGCCAGAGTTCTCGGTTGAATCCTCATTTTCTCTCATACACTCGTATTTTCGTGCCAATGCAGAACGGAAAACTGAAAAAAAAAAAGAAACATGTTGCAGTAAGTTAGAGGAATCAAAAGGTAAATATTAAATTACTGTATGAAGCGAAAATGTGTACTTTCATTTAACGAACGAACGAATTAGGTGGATGAACTTATTTATTGTTTGTGGTATGGATCAACCGTTGGAGATATGGTGCTTTGTTATTTAATTTTGTTACGCCCTCCGCTTCCCTGAAATCACCAAAAAATAAGATACATATATACATATCTTCCTTAATTATATAAATTTACAACGATCTTTCGAAAAAGAATGAGGATGTTCTCTTTTTAGAGAGATTAGGCAATTAGTCGGTTTATCCAAGTAAGTATTCACAAAGAAGATTTAAAGCATTATTTAATCATATGTAATTCAACATTTGCTCAGTATATATATATATAATTAGTTTTGATCCCAACTATCAATGAAATTGATGCAATTGATGCTATTCCACGCATGCCTCGGTTATAGAATGGTTGACAGACATGAAAGTACTGCAAAACACTTTGACTTAATTGAGACATTGAATTTTATTGGTACGAAATTTTCGGTAGCACCGGCTACCTTCATCAGCGTACGAGTATCTAAAGATATATATTAGAGCAAATTACATGTTAGCAATAGAGATAACGATGGATGTAGTTATTGCACATAAACTATGGGATTAAGATAATATATTAAACCATTACCAAGAATTAGCCATCAAAATAATTATGGAAGAAATAGGCGAGAAATGATAAATCAATCAATATATAATAAAATATGTATAAAGAGAGGCCTATGATAAATTACAGGAATGAAAAACTGTAAAGCCTGAAGCAAAACCTAGGTCCTTATTAGCTCCTATTTTATGAGTCCTAAGTTTCAAAATCCATTTTATTTCAACACATCTTCTTTCATTAAGTGATCTGATGTTGTTATCTATAATGATACATCTCATATTATATTAATGGTGTGTCTAGCTCCGTTGAAGTGTCGCTAAAGGCAGAATATAATGTTTTCTTATAGAGCTTTTGTGGTTATTAATCCTTTGTCTAAATGTGCAACCACTCTCCCCGACATAGCACACCCTTTACATACGGTACGGCACACCATAATGAGATATATGATATTATGGGCATTGTAAGTGAGCGAAGGGGGTCTGATGGTGATTTTAGTGTTGGGTGAATGGATGAGACTGTCTGTTATGAGGATATGGCAAATATTACATCTGGGATTACCACAAGGTTTGTTACCTGGCTTGGGACGGGAAGAGGGAAGATTGGAGGATGTGAGCAAAGATTTTAGGTTGGGGGTTGTCTTCTAGCCAATACGGGGGGTTTTTTGAAAGCTTCAATGTCAGGTATATTATTTTGGATAATTTTGAAGTCGTCTTCGAGCTACTTTAAATTATTTATAAATAATGAAAATAGCTCCACCATATTTTTTATATATAATTGTTAGAGGCAAAACTAATTATATATATATATTCTAACGAACACATGTTGAATTATATATTAAATAATGAATTATATGTTTATAATTTTGTTAAGTAATTAACAATAATTAATAATTAAGTACATTAATTGGCGCCTCATAATTTATGATTTATAATTGCATGCAGTATTAGATTGACAATGTAAGGCAGCTTGAAACAACATACAAAGTGTGATCATGAAATAAAAGCTGATAAACCTGAATAACCGTCAATTTGAATAAGGTCCAACAACCAAGAACAATGAATTTGATAGGATTTCAGTTTTACCAGTAGTCCACCAGAAATACGGATTTGAAGCACCAAAGTTGGACATAATTGCAACAAAACTTTTTTTTATGAATATATATAGTTAAATTTTATATCTACAACATACAAAAAGTTTACCAAAATATACCCACGGGAAAGGTGATTTTTATAGCAAAGAAAACTGAACTATTTCACTGGGCTTATACGCCATGCCTAGGATGTGTGTGCTGTGCCTTGGTTACGAAGCGCTTTAATTTGATTTGCCGCTGACGCTTTTGATTGGTTAACATACCTTCAACAGTCTGCGCGTACTCATTTACGCAACACACGTACGTACGTACGAAAAATACGCAAGTTCGTACGTACGTCACGTCCCAGAATGTAAACACGGAAATTGCTAGATATTATAACCTCTGTAATATTTAATTTCAGGGTAGATGGATCTACAACAATAATTCAATTTTAATTTTAAATACAATGATAGGTACGATTAATTGACAAATAGTGAGGCCTGCCCAGTGTGTGCCGACACAGGAGTCGGGAAAAAAAAGTATGTGATCTTACATCAATAGGCCCTATATAGGAATAGGCATATTATTATATTTTCTTACCTAAAAACACCAATTACAATTTTATAGCTAATACAATAAAACAAATTTATTTGCAAATAGTGTAAAATAATTGTTGATATTTTAAAAAAGTATAATAATGACTGATAATTGATTTATTTGAAATAGGCCTACTATTCTACTCTCTTCGTATAAAAAATGTTAGAAATCACGTAAATTCAGGATTTGGTGCCGAATTACTGTATAATGCCTGTATAATGCCTTGTCTTCTGGTGAATAGCATAAACGGGGTGACAGGCGACACGTACCCCAACTATTTTAAGGGGGTGTTCCCCATCACGTTCCTAAGAAAGTCAAGAATATTCCTGGAAATTGTAGAATTGAACTGCATAAATGACCAGATTTTAACGAAAGACCACTTTACAGGCAGATAACATCTTATTTTATAACAAGATACCGG